GAAACAATTAATTAAATGAAAACTTACAAAAATATAAAAGCATAAATAAACATCATTATGCAACTATACGTGTTGGCCTTTCTTGAGAACTACAAATAAGAAATACCACACCTTTCTTCATTTTTCTTGTGAAAGGATTTAATCAATTTTAGGCGTTCTTCAGTTTCACTAGCAATATAAACCTTGTTCCGTCTTAGTACATGTGAGTCTAATATAATTTTTCAATTAATATGTATTTTTGTCTAATTTAATTGATGATTTTGTTCACGTACGTTTTCCATAACTTTTTGTAGTAATTTTTACAAATCAAACGATTTCGATTTTAATATCTCTAAAAAAGCTTTTGAAAAATCTTTAATTGATCAACACAGAAAGGAAGTTATAATTGAATGATGTCATTTGCACTGGAGTACGGAAAACCTTTAAGTACAACTTCATTAATTTTAAAAATTGTGATAACTTTTGGAATTTTCTTTTGAGTTTATCATTTTATATGTGAAATCAATAAGTTTTTATGAATGCACAAGATATACATAGACAGAAAGAATGAGATATACACGTTACTACAGGAAATGTGCAGTCAATTAAATTCTAGATGTACATGATCCAATAAAGAAAACGAAACGGGTTAAATCCCTCTTTCGCCGAAATCTCACATAATACCGTTAATGCAATTTGTTGTCGATGCTGCTGATGCCACTGATGCCCTCCTTAATAAATGAACTTCTGTATTTTTGTTTTGTTTAGAATAAGATGAGTAAATGAATATTTACTTTGTTTAGTTCTAACGTAGTACCAAAATTTTTGTTTTGTCTAATTAGTTCTAAAGTAGTATCAGTTGGAATGAATTTTGGTTTGTTTAGTTATAAAGTAGTATTAGTTGGAAATTTGTAATGACACCCTACTCTTTGAAATGTTATCAATCTCTTTAATGTTATAAAATTAGAGTGGAAAAATTTACTGGTCATGTAGCTGTAAATTGTGATTCATTTGTTTCCTATTGACCTATAAAAGATACTTGATAGTGAAATTGTAAATTATTGTGGGTTTGTTACTGATTGGAGGAGAAAATTTAAGGAAATAATTTGTAATGAAATATGTGGTGTATTTTTCTTAATTGCGTTGGAGATTTGCAGTTTGAGAAATATAATTCACTCAAAATCTCTAGGATTGTAAGCCACATTTATTTAGACCCCATAAATGCCTGGTAACATGCATTTCTCTCGAGTTAATAAGATCATAGTTATTTGTGTTAATATGCTATCTTGGATCTTGTTGTCAAAAATTTTATTAAGAAATATAAAACGTGAATATTTTAATTTAAAGTTCTAAAATATTAGACAAAATTTTACTATTGAAAAATTTAAATAACTTTAAAAACTTATTATAGCTATACAATAACGTTGTTAAGTACTTTTAAAACATTTTTTAACGTTTTTTTTTAAAATTCATATGGTCGGTTGGATAATAAGTATAGTCCAAATAAATGCAAATGTCTAGACGGCTATCAGGGGTGGATCTAGGTTGAGTGATACACTGCTTCGTTAGAAATATTCAGTATATATAAGTAGGAAAATTTGCACAAATATACTGTCCAACACATCTTAAGTGCACTTACATAAGTATATTTTTCAGTTTTCATCCGCATATCCAATATTTTTTTGCAATAATGTATATATATTTTTATATATTACTTTACAATATCATACACTTAATATAAATAATATATCAATCTTGCATAAATGTATATAATAATATTTAAGATGTGTTTATATACCCATATATAGTGATATACATTATGATATAGTATTGCTACAAATTTTTGCATAGAGTAACAATTCTCGAATTTTAGAATGTCTTATTAGCAACACCTACTCCAATTGAATATCAATTGAATCTTTCTTGTAACATCAATGCATCAATAGTAAATTCCTTCTCTATTTATTTGATTATATATTTAATCACATTACATTATTAAATTTGTAATCTCTTTTACAAAATTCAAGAAAGAATCATGTAGCATTTTTTCACTGATTGAGGTCCCCAGGTCGAATCACCTCAATGGGCATTGTTCTGTTTTCCATTGTAACAAATGAATCTTAAAAGTTATAAGGAAAATAAGATTTTTTGGCACATTAAACGATAGTTCTCTCTTGCAACACATAAAATTAACGGGTAGGATTAGAAGTAGCTAAATCTTAGAATATAAGTTGATATTTTAAAAAACATTTATAGGTTAGTAAATTTGTAGAGAAAATATGAATCCTAATTAGAAGAAGACACCCTTCAGTCTTCTTATAGTGGGTTGCCTGTCATTTCGCCATCTTCCCGAATTTTGCCCACCGGTAAAAGAGACAAGTTTTGTTTTTACTATTTATCTTTCTTCCTTTCCGAATTCAGTTGATGAAATTATATTAGCTCTTTATTAATATGATTTCGTTGCAATATGATATGATCCAGAAATAATTGAGCTGATTTTTTTTAGTTGTTAATTCCAGTATTAGATGTAAAATCCAGCTGTCAAGTTAGTTAGAAAGTAGTAGCAAATGTGAGATTCCCAGAGTTAGTTATAACTAATTTTCCCTCCCTTTTTCTGTTTTTCTGTTTCTGTTTTTCCCCAAAGTATATATAAGGCGTGCAGATCATTGTGATGTTTAGGGAATTGATTTTTCATCAATAATATCTTCTGTTCTTCTCTCTCTAAACATAGAACTCAGCTCGAGTATTGTAGAGATCTGTTCAAGAGCAATTCTGTGACCTTGCTCTTTAGGATTTCTCACTTCTTCTTTGAATTTTTCTTTAGCTGCTATCATTAGTATCAGAGCTCCCGATCCTTGGATCTGTGGGAAGCGATGATGGGGGAACATAACACCAGGATACAAGAGCTTCGAAGAGATCTCGATGGTCTTCGAGGATCTTTTGAAGGTATCACTGGAACAATGGAAGAACTACGAAGGAACATGGATGATAAGCTTGCACAATCGATGGAGGAGTTTAAGAGAATCCTCTTGACTAATTTGGAGAATCAACGACCCCAAGTGAATCCCAGAATAGAGGACGAGACTGCAACTGCAAGAGATCGCCGGAAAGAAGAATATCAATTGCCTACTAGGAGGAATCAACTGGAATTTCCAAAATTTGATGGCACTGGCTTACGCGATTGGTTGTATCAGTGTGAGCAGTTCTTTGAAGTAGATGAAACCCCAGAAGCATCAAAGGTGAAATTGGCTTCATGTAGATTGGGAGGCAAGGCTCTTCAATGGTATCAAGTTTTCATGAAGACTAGACTGACGAGGGAATGGCCAAGCTGGGGAGAGTATGTGAGATGTTTGTACGCAAGGTTTGGTTCAGAATTGTTTGATGATCCAATGGGAGATTTAAAGGATCTCAAGCAGGTAAACTCTGTACAAAATTATGTGGATTTGTTTGATGAATTGTTAACTAGAGTAGAATTAAATGAGGAGTATGTTGTTAGTTGTTTTTTGAGAGGTCTTAAACCTGAGATAGGGTTGCCTGTAAAGATGTTTGCTCCTCGATCCTTACAGAAGGCAATCAGTTTAGCCAAAATCCAAGAACAAGCACTCATAATCTAGAAACAAACCTCAAAAAGTACCCCAATTCTTTCCAATCCCAGACCAAACCAAAGATATCCCCCTGCTAACACCAATTATTACAACAACCAGCCTTTTTCTAAACCAAACCTATCCATCCAAAAAGCCCAGAATTCTTTTACTGGAGCTGCTAAACCAATTTATAAAAACCCAAAGATTCTAAATCCCAGTGAAATGGAGGATAAGAGAGCTAGAGGATTATGCTTTTATTGTGATGAAAAATATGTCCCTGGACATGTGTATTCAAAAATAAGACAATCAGTCTCTATTAAGGTGGAGGATCGAGAAGGGGCAGGAGATGTGGGTGATGAGGGAGATGTAATACTTGATCCCTCTGAATTCTTGTGTATGGAAGGGGTAGAATTTGAGGTTGATAATGAAGGAGCCATCTTACCTCATGTTTCAGTCCATGCAATGACTAGTGCCCAAGATTTTAGAACAATGTTTAGAACCATAAGGGTTACAGGTTCAGTGAAGGGGAAGGCTATCAAAATCCTGATTGATACAGGTAGCACTCACAACTTTATGGACCTCAGCACTGCAAAGAGGTTAGGATGCTACTTAACTAAGATCCATCATTTTGCTGTGTCAGTAGCTGATGCAACAGAATACACAACAACTTCATCTGCAAAGGTTTCCTTTGGAAGATGCAAAGGGCTCAGTTTATGTCTGACATGTTGACTTTACCTTTGGGTGGCTGCAATATGGTTCTAGGGGTGCAGTGGTTGATCACACTGGGAGATATCCTATGGAATTTTAGGAAGTTAAAAATGGAGTTTACATATAGGGGACAAAAGATTTCATTGAGGGGTATGCAACCTCCTGCTATGAAGTTGGTAGAACAAGGAAAGATGGATAAACTCTTAGCTAAACATGCTGAGTTGTTTATGATGACAGTGGGATTGTTTGCTATAAGCCCTAAACCTGGGGCTAGTTTCTGGAAATTGCAAGCTCAGATAGAGATAGTGGAGGATAAGTCAGGATTGCAGGAGGTGTTGCAGAAATATAGTGACGTGTTTGATGTTCCTAAGGGCCTACCACCACCTAGACAACATGATCACATGATTGTATTGAAGGAAGGCACCTCCCCCATCAACATTAGACCTTACAGGTACCCTGCTATACAGAAGGAGGAGATCGAAAAGATGATTGAAGAGTTGAAAACTGCTGGAGTAATAAGGAACAGTACAAGTCCTTACTCTTCACCTATTGTTATGGTGAAGAAAAAGGATGAAAGCTGGAGAATGTGTGTTGATTATAGGGAGCTTAACAGCCACACAGTCAAGGACAAATTTCCTATACCAGTCATTGAATAATTGTTAGATGAACTCTATGGTACAGAGTTTTTCTCTAAGTTGGATTTGAGATCGGGCTACCATCAATTTAGGAATGGAACCTGATATTCCAAAAACTTCTTTTAGAACCCACCATGGCCATTTTGAATTCTTGGTGATGCCTTTTGGCTTAACCAATACCTCATCTACTTTTCAGAGCTTGATGAACCAAATCTACCTCCCTTATTTGAGGAAGATTATTTTGGTTTTCTTTGAGGATATACTAGTGTACAGCTCTTCTTGGGGTGATCACTTGATACACTTGGAGAAAACCTTTGAGGTTTTGAGAACTAACACACTATTTGTTAAACAAAGCAAATGTACTTTTGGTGAAACTCAGGTAGATTATCTGGGGCATATAATCTCTGAACATGGAGTTGCAATGGATGGACAGAAGATAACAGCACTACCCAGCTGGCCCCAACCTTTTTCTATCAAATCACTCAGGGGATTCTTAGGTCTTACTGGTTATTACAGACGTTTCATTAAAGAGTATGGGGCTATTTCTAGGCCTTTAACTAATCTCTTAAAGAAGGGGAATTTTGCATGGAATGAGGCTGCAACTCAAGCATTTGAAGAACTGAAGAAATTGATGATTTTAGCTCCTGTCTTGGCATTGCCAGATTTCTCTAAGGAATTTATTGTAGAGACTGATGCTTCAGAAGATAGTATTGGTGCAGTACTTACTCAAGAAATCAGACCTATTGCTTTCTATAGTAAGGGATTATCTGAAAAGAACAAGGCCTTATCAGTATATGAGAAAGAGTTGTTGGCATTGGTGAGTGCAGTGCAAAAATAGAGGCCTTATTTGTTAGGCAGGCATTTCACTATCAAGACTGATCATCATAGCCTCAGGTATTTGTTGGAGCAGAGGATAACAACACCCAGCCAATAAAAGTGGTTAGTTAAACTACTTGGATATGACTACACTATTACCTATAAGAAAGGGAAAGACAATATTGCTGCAGATGCTTTGTCAAGAAAAGAGGAACCAGCTCAACTCTGCAGTATCTCAGGAGTTCAGGTGGATTTGTTAGAAGAAGTCAAGCAATCCTGGTTACAGGATCCTATTTTATAGGTGCTTATCCAGAAGTTGCAAAACTCTGCACTAACCAAACCATATTACAAATACCATGCTGGCATTCTGAGCAGGAAAGGAAGAGTTATGGTAGGCCATAATGAGGAGTTGAGAGGAAATCTGGTAGCTTATTACCACAACAGTTCAATATGAGGGTATTCTGGCATTTCTGCTACTTTGAGCAGGCTCAAGCAAGATTTTTATTGGAAGAAAATGAAGCAAACAGTCTACACTTTTGTAAGAGAGTGTGACACCTGTCAAAGATGCAAAAATGAGAATGTAGCATACCCAGGTTTGCTACAACCATTACCTATTCCTGATAAGGTATGGCAAGATCTTTCCATGGACTTCATTGAGGGGTTACCAAAGGCCAAAGGCAAGGAGGTGATTTTTGTGGTAGTTGACAGATTGAGTAAAGTTGCTCACTTCATGGCTTTAAAACACCCTTACACTGCATTAGAGATGGCTCAGGTATTCATAGATAATGTTTTTAAACTCCATGGTATGCCTAAATCTGTGGTGTCTGATAGAGATGTGATTTTCACCAGTAAATTTTGGAAAGAGCTGTTTAAATTGCAGAAGGTGTCCCTGCTTACTTCTACTACGTATCACCCTCAGACAGATGGACAAACTGAGGTGGTAAATCGATGTTTGGAATGTTATTTGAGATGCATGATAAGTGATAGACCTCAAGAATGGCCCCAGTGGTTACCCTTGGCAGAATGGTGGTACAACACTGCCTATCACTCAACTATCAAGATGACACCTTATGAGGTTGTTTATGGTCAGAAACCACCCCCTCTTTTACCCTATATGCCACTTGATTCTCAATTAGAAGTGGTAGACAGAAGCCTACAAGTAAGGGAGGCCACATTGAGGACAGTCAAGTTCCACTTGTTGAGAGCTCAGAATAGAATGAAGTCCCAAGCAGATAAAGGTAGAACTGATAGGAACTATGAGGTAGGAGACTGGATTTATGTTAAACTGCAACCCTATAGACAACTATCCTTGAAAAGTCATTCCTTTCAGAAGCTTTCATCCAAGTTCTAACTTCTATGGCCCTTTTCAAATCATTCACAGGGTGGGTCCAGTAGTTTATACACTGGCTCTACTTGCTCACTCAAAGATCCATCCCACTTTCCACATATCTCAGCTTAAGAAGAAGCTTGGTTCTCATCCAGTCTCACCAGTTCTTCCTATTGTTCATGCTGAGCATGGTCATGTGTTACTCGAACTAGAAGCTATCTTGGATAAAAGGTTGGCTCCCAAGAATGGCAAAGCTACGGCTCAGATTCTAGTGAAGTGGTTGAATGCAACACCTAAAGATAGTACATGGGAAGATTGGCAGGACTTCTAGCTCAAGTTTCCAGCTTTTAATCCTTGAGGACAAGGATCGTTTGAAGGGGGGAGTGTTGATATGATCCAGAAATAATTGAGCTGATTTTTTTTAGTTGTTAATTTCAGTATTAGATGTAAAATCCAGCTGTCAAGTTATTTAGAAAGTAGTAGCACATGTGAGATTCCCAGAGTTAGTTATAACTAATTTTCCCTCCCTTTTTCTGTTTTTCTGTTTCTATTTTTTTCCAAAGTAGATATAAGGCGTGCAGATCATTGTGATGTTTAGGGAATTGATTTTCTATCAATAATATCTTCTCTTCTTCTCTCTCTAAACATAGAACTCAGCTCGAGTACTGTAGAGATCTGTTCAAGAGCAATTCTGTGACCTTACTCTTTAGAATTTCTCACTTCTTTCTTTGAATTTTTCTTTAGCTGCTATCACAATAATATCTTTATTATTCATTTATTTAAATATTAATATTGCTGCAAAATCTCGAATACACCGGTGGACGACTTAATAAGGATTGTGTTTAAATTGACTTTATCCATACATAATTCTAGCACAACCATTTCCAGATGTAGGAATCTGCACATTACTTATCCTTTAATGGTTTGCGAAAAAGAAATTCTCGAATTATATACGTAAATAAAATACGATTTGGCCTAGGGACATGAACAATTTCGAATTTTCAACCTAAAAAGTAGTGATAGTAATAGTAGTACCAAAGATAAATTTAATTATCTGTACGACTTGAAACGTGTAAAGTAAAATTGATAAGAAGACAGATACATGCCGAAAGGAACTACACGCAACTCGCGAAGGGTGAAAAAGGATTCATACAAATGTCAAAAACTAAGCCGTAAAAGTTGAGTGTCCAAACTCCGATAAGTCGCGGTACAGCAACTTGTTCAAGAGTTCCTGGGAAAAGGTCAAAAAATATTGTTGATAAAGTCTCATTTTTATATAACAGTTATTTACTGTAAAAATCAAATTTTTCTCAAAATTAATTTTTTAAGTTATATTCTTTTATTTCTCTATAACAGTTTTTTTTTATCTATAACAACAAATTTTATATTTATAGTAGAATGTTTTTCTGTAAAATTGTTTCTCTATAAAAATCATATAGAATCTCTAAAATTACTAATAACAGTTCTAAAAAATATGCACATAATCTTCTTTCATTGAATGAAATTTCCATGAAACATATAATACATGAGATTTAAAGAATTTGGACACTTTCCTTAATCTATTGATGCTTTCTTGAAGTATTGTAAAGTAGCATCATTACAAACTATCAAATTAATTAAAAAATTTACCCCCAAAAATTAATAATTTAAATGTTGTGCAAAATATGGCTTTTATTATGATTTTGTATGGTTTTTTGGTACTGTCCCTTCTTGTCTTTATTTTTATTAATATGGTGCTTATGCTTTCCTGAGTCGAGTGTCTATTGGAAACAACATCTCTATCTTCACAAGGTAGGGGTAAGGTCTGCATACACACTATCCTCCCAGACCCCACGGTATGGAATAATACTGAGTATGTTATTGTTATTGTGCAAAATATCTATACATGTATTAATCTATTAAGAGAGTTCTAACGGATTTTGGAAGACCGACCCTATTTATGTGGCATAATACGGAGACTACTTGTGGTTGGGGGTGAAAGGCCAACCAAAAAAATTCTCGGCCTTCAAAAGTACAAAGAGTTTTTTCTCATACAGCTTGTGTTTTGAAGATATTCTCAACTACCTCCAAAAAGAATCTAGCGGGAGAAAATAAAAATTGCATAATTAATGCAATTTCTAGTTGGTCATATGAAAATAATAATAATAATAATAATAATAATAATAATAATAATAATAATAATAATAATGCTAATTTAACTCATTCGCGTTTGATTAAATAGTATTCACATTAACTTATGCGATAATATACATATTATAATGTAAAATATAAGGCTGTGTGCATTTAGCAATATGTGAATAAAGTATGTCGTGACAAGGTCCTTTTAAGAAGTAACCATTACTATATACTACAATAGTTCACCACATAAAAATTCTTACAGCATACTATATTTATTTCACAACAATCTATCTAACAAATATTAATCGCATAAATAATATTGTACAATAACTAAGGCATATCTAGTAGGTTAAAAAAGTATTTTTATCGGTATGGACATGATACTATATTAATTTATTATAGTGAAGTGATTTAATTAAGCGATAACATTATTAATTAACCATGATTAAAAATATTGTATCATCATCTATCTAATGACTGTGTGTATATCGCAGTGCAAATTAAACAAATGACAAAAAGGAATCTGATAGGTAAAAAAATGAAGAAAAAAGGAAAAGTTGCGTGGTTTTTACGCCAAGGACACAACAGACACCAACTATAAATAGCTGAAGAACCAATCAAATTCAGAGTCCTATAATTTTAAGCGAGAGAAGAGTAGAGTACAAGAGGGAGAAAAATGTCGCAAGCAGAGGAAGATAAGAAGCCAAGCGGCGATCAGGCTGCACATATCAATCTCAAAGTCAAAGGCCAGGTCTGTGCTTTCCTTCGATTAGGGTTTGGTTTGTACTTTTTATGTTATAAGTAAAGTTTAGTGTTTATTTTGGGAATACTCATGTCGTATTGTCGTGTTGTTTATATGACTGCTTGATTTATTCGGTGTTCTATATAACTGCTTTTTTATATGATCACATGTTCAGCTGGTTTTTCTATTATTTTTTATTTTATTTTGGGATTGGGCTTCTTTTGTTTGTGAATTTGAACTAAGTCATTTGATAGAACCAAATTAACTGGAATCTAATAGAAAATTTGTGCCAAACTGAACGATTAAGCGCTTGTCTCATATTTTAGTCTCGGAATTTTGTGATTAGTACGAATGGATGTTATGATTAGTCTGGACATAAAATCGTGCATTTGCAAAGAGTTGCTTAGCCTTATTTTGCAAACACAGTATATTCAATACTTTACCTATTGGTGTTTTGATGTGGAAAAGGCCTTCCTCTGCGTCAAGATAAATAGTGTAGTTTTTATCAAGAAAAATAAGGAACAACTATTTTTTTAAGTAGTAGTTGTTTCATTTCCCATTGGTGCATTTAGTATAAAAGAGATGTTAGTATTACAAAAATGAATAGTTCACTATTACTTGTAAAAAAGTGGCTAGTTCCAGTAAGTTAGGTTGTTGTAGCTCTGTGTCTGGTTGGGTAGGTTAATAACTGATTGTTATCTCCATATAACATAATTATATATTCTGTTACAAAAAGGTGAAAATATAAAATATATTGGCTTTCTAGACTAGCTGTTTTATGGGTAAGTTCAATCTTCTTCTTTTCTTTTCTTTTTGGGGTGGGGTGGGGGGGGTTATAGATGGTAAAGGCATCACTTTGCTTTCTGTACTTGTGATATTGGATTGTTGAGTTTTGACTACAGACCTGTTTCTTTGCTGTTAAACCATGATACCATGTCTAAGCTTAATAGATGGTGTTTGCTAAGGATCACTACAGTGTGATGCCTTAATCATCAGTTGTAAACTTTGGTTGTGCTTGCATAAATTTCCAGCATCAATTGGTGGGTAGACATCTTCCCTTCGTTGTATCTATGTTAGTATGTTACCATGTTAAATTATCTGTACGATGTCATAGCAGCCAAGTCCACCTGGAAGTGGGAAGTGATCATTTGTGTTGTATATGCTATATGTTTTCGTCTGTGTTGGAAACCTACTTTCTCCTTTGGCTTCAGCTTGCGGTTTGTTTGCTTGCTGATAAAATGTTATTGAGAAATGTGATATCCTGGGTGATTGATTTTGCTATGCTTAATTTTGCCTCTTGGATAGAGAAACATGATATGTTGTGTGGTTGATCCCAATGTGCAGCAGTCTATAGTGGATATTCTCTTTCCTTATCATCATTACGGTGATCGCTGCCGATGAAAGAGAAGTGCCTTCTTACCTGCTATATCAAATAGGATAATAGTGAGAGAATTACAGATTTGGTTCTTCTATTGGTTGCAGGATGGGAATGAAGTCTTCTTTAGGATCAAAAGAAGCACCCAGCTAAAGAAGCTGATGAATGCATATTGTGACCGGCAGTCGGTGGATTTCAACTCAATTGCATTCTTATTTGATGGTCGTCGTCTTCGAGGAGAGCAGACTCCAGATGAGGTATCTCTCTCTCCCTCCGTCAATACTCTCTGACCATGTTCACGCTCTAATAAAACAAAGGAAGAAACAGATAGGACATGAAAATCTCATGTTTGTTTGCTCTTGTGCTTTATACTTGTGCGATTAGCTTTCTTGTTTTCTAACAATTTTTCTTCCTTGCTTTAGCTGGAGATGGAGGATGGCGATGAAATTGATGCAATGCTTCATCAAACTGGAGGGTCAACTGTTTGAGTTGTCTCTTGTGCTTATGGACATAGACTGTTTGTTTCTAGGCTGTAGACTTTAATGAATGTAGCTTGGGCTACTTTAGGACCTGTAGAAGCATAGATGAGCTTCGTGTTTTGCTTATGTCGGACCAGCTTGTATGAACATAATTATTACTTGCTGTTGCAAGAAGATCATCAGTTGCTTCTTGCCGTGATATTAAAGTAATATCTCTTTCTATCTATAAGCCCTCTCCTCAATAACCTTGCTGCCAGGGAGTAGTTCCATCTATCGTTATTGTGCATCTCATGCTTTTGATTAAAGTGCAGGTTCCCATCTCTGAGGTGTTTGGCATAGCAGTCTTTGATCAGCGGATGACACCACGGGGACAAGGTCGACTCTGGTGTTATGAAATTATCTATCGTCTTTTGGGGTATATAATACTGTGTATAATTAGCTAATTGGACTGAGTGGTACATACGCAGTCGAGTGTCCATAATCTTAATGGCATATACTTCTGCGGCATGTTATCTTTGCATAGTGTAACACTCCTCAAATCTGTAGAAGTTTAAAAACTCGCTAAATATATAATTTAAATTATTTTTATCTTAAATTATACTTCTATTCCGTGGGAT